TGTGTGTGTGTGTGTAAAATATTAGATTTTTTATAACAAATTTTTTAAAAATAAAATCGTAGTAAAAATTTATGAATTTGAAATATAATGACAAAAAAATATAATTATAATAATTTTACAGCAAAGGGATGGCAACATGGAGTTAAACCTAAAGCACATGGTTTCGACGTGATGGGAAGTTGTTTATGTTCTATCTTGTATACGTTATTTTAAATTTAAAAATGTACGAATCACAGGAGTCAAAAACGAACCTTTCAAAAAATCTGTTAAAAATGAAGGTAAGTCAATTAAAAATCATCACCGATTGTTTTTATGCGATTGAACTTTGAAAATGATCGATTTGTCAAATTATTAAGTGATTATTTATGTAAGGGATTGATCGTAATTATTCGTAAATTGCTATTAATATTTCTAATCGAGTTTCCGATCGTCTTTCTTTATATATTTGGATATTTAAGGCAGACAAATGCCGATCGTGTGTAAAACCACATGTTTTTTTTTAATCTGTCATATTTTAGTCCTATGAGAACATCCATTTTCCAATGTAGATTTTCTAAATTATATTTTGTCAAGTGTACTTAATTATTCTTTAATTTTTTTTGTTTAAATTCCAAAATCAAAAAAATGAAGCAATTAAACTCCAGTATAAAGTGATATAACGCCAGTAAAAAAACAATAGCTGACAAAACGTTAAAACTGAGGGATAGCCACAGTGGCAAGAATATTAAGGATGGTGATGTAAGAAATAGTCTGGTTTAATTCTTCAATCAGCTAAATGAGATTTGATAAACAGAAAAAAACCTTTACCAGCAACACTTTTAATTATTGAAATCAAACATTTTTGGCTTCACACTAGTACAGGTATACTTCAGGTTACGTTGTTTTCAGTTAAGTCATTATCGGTTCTACATCGTTTGTCAAAAAAATATATGGAAATATAAAAATAAAGTTTAAGTCATTTTATTTGACTTTACATCTGTCTGCCACAAATACTGAAGTTGTAATATCACTAGAAAAGCATTAAAAGCACATAAAATCAAATTAAAATATGTACAGTAAATGTTAATATGATCATCATAAATCCTAGAGAATGAAACATGAAAACATCTGTGACTCTGTGTTGTTGTCTTATTTAACGGTCTTTAAGAGCTCAATATTGGCATTTTCCACGGTAGTTCCAATATCTACTGTTTGGCATCATTGTCAGCACCACTCGATATTGGTAAATTTAACATAAATTAGTTTATTTTCTACTATTGCAAAATAATTTTAATAACTGTACTTGTTATTTAACCTTACAAAATCATCTTATTTTATAATGTCTTAGAGCAGTGTTTCTCAATGGGGGCGATATCGCCCCCATGTGGGCGTTTTTCCATGTTGAGGGGGCGATTAGTAACAATTTATATTTTGGGGGGCAAAAAACAATTTTCTGGGCAATATAGTAAAACGTTATATTAAGAATAATTAGATATTTTATTCGTTATATCGTACAATAATTAAACAAATAACATTATACTAGTCACTAGTCTATTCAATGCAGTACGAATTTGGCGTTAGCCTTGGCCCTCGGCATTGGAAATTTGAAGTGAAGGGGGCGACGATTCGTTAGAGGTTGCGAAACACTGCCTTAGAGCAAACCACATTCACAAATAAAGTCTGCAATGTACTGTAAACATCGCCAAATTGTAAACATGTATATTTACAAGTATGTATGTACATGTAGTTATGTATTCGTAAATTTGATTACTTTTTTTTCTATACTATATTAAAAACTAAAATTTATTTGTTTGTAAGCTTAAAATAGTTTCTTATTAACCATAAATTATTAATGAGCACTTATAGTAAAAAATAGTTAATATCTAAATATATAAAATTGCTTGTCCTGACTGACTGACTCATTCACTGACTGATTCATCATCGCCCAGAGCAAACCGCTTAACCTAAAGAGGTGAAATTTGGTAGACAGTTAGGGTACGTCATGGAAACGTACACTAAGAAGGGATTTTTTGAAATTCCTCCGCGGGGGGAGAGGGAGAGCATTAAGGCTTAACCAGAAGAATGGCTTCTACTGTACTATTTTAGATGCGATTTTCTGTTTTTATCTGCATTTTAGTAGGGTACGCCATGGCAATGCACACTAAGAAGGGATTTTTCGAAATTCCCTCGCGGGAGAAGAGGGAGAGGTTTAAGGCTTAACCGGAAAAACGGCTTCTACTGTGCTATTTTAGATGCGATTTTTTGTTTTCAACTACGTTTAATCTTCATTGAGTACTTAGGTGTATTAAATTGATAACATTTCAGATATTGTTATAAATATTTTTATATATTTTTGATTTTTTAACCAAATGTTCGAACCGTTTTAATTTTGAATTTGTTATTGCATATTGGTTCGATTATAGAACGATTGATCAAATTGAAAATAGTTAGTTTGATTTTCGGCAATTCTCATTATTTTCAGCGGTAAGTGTTATATAACAATTACTATGATTGTTGAAATACTGAATATAAATGGGGTTTGCTTGCAAAACTACCGCGGGCGAAGTCGCGGGTAACAGCTAGTTAATAATATAATAATAATGATAATTTATAGTATTATTTGTATTAACAAAAAATGAGGCTCCATTGAACTTCAATAAGCCTTAGGCCCTGAAAAACCTATATATGCCCCCAGCTATGATCACCAAAGAGAAGACCAATAAGTTGTGAGTTCTCTGTTGGTGTGCCACTTTGCTGAGTTTGTTTTAGTACTAATTTGTCTGTAAAAGATAGATTTTTTATAACAAAATTCTATTAAACACTGGATTAAAAAAATGCAGTGTTTAATATGAAATAAGTTTTTCATTGTTTTTATGTAATTTACTTGTTGTTTTCTTAGTGAACATGTTTTGTATCATTTAAATCTACATGCTTTGATACACTAAAACAAAAACTTGCAGCCAATGTATTCTGTAATGTGTGTGTTGTGATGTTCATGTTTTGTGTGTGTTGTGATTTTCTTGAAAATGTTTTTGAGTTGTTTCTTTAATTTGGGTCTTATGTTGTTTTTACTCAGCAGGGCTTTGGAGCGACCATTTTTTTGAGTTGCTCCACTCCGGTATCAAAGTATTTGCTCCAGCTCCGCTCCATGCTCCGGTTAAAATATTCTTATAGGAATTACACTAATTTTGTCTTTGGTATATAAGTACGCATAAAAAAACTTGTTTATTTACAACTAATTTATTATTTAAAAAATTAACATACAACCTCATTGATTTTAATAAATAGACTGGGGAGTCATGAAGGGGAAGGAATAGCTTGGTCAGGGGATAGTGGAGACTGGAGAGAGAGGTTCCCACCTTTCACATGGGACATATGCGGAATGGATATAAAATTAATCTGTGCTTGTGATCATTTTTCTTTTTAGTTCAATTATTGTATTTTTAACATTTGTAAATATTATAACTTATGCCATTTCCATTCTCATCGTCTCAAATATTAAATAAATGTATATATCAGAGCAGTGGAGCACTACAAATTTCTGTGCTCCGGCTCCGCTCCTGCTCCGAGTAAAAATCCATTGCTCCACCTGCTCCATGCTCCAGCTCCAGCTCCGCTCCAAAGCCCTGATTTTTAGTGTATTCTGTCAGCCTGCCTAATTGCTGTCTAATGTCATTTATTTGTGTTTCTATTCTTCTCTGCCAGACAGGCTTATGATAGAATTGTGTTTTGTGTGTATCTATCTGTGATTGTATTTTCAGTCCATGGTGTGTTACTACTGTGACTGCCCTAGCATAAACTAATGTGTGAATGACTGAGAGTGTAGAAATTGAATGAATGTAGTTTGGTAGTAAGTGAGTGTTTACATAATTTAGTGTTTTTCCTACTACCTCAGACGTGTTGATTTTTGGTATTCGTGGTCTTTGTGTGGGATCTGTACCTGTATATTTAGTCTGTTTGCTGAAATAAAAGTGAGAGCGTATTAACTAAATCTATGTCTATGTTATCAGTGATGGATGGGGAAGTGCCTGCAGTATCATTAGTGGTACTTGTTGTGTGTGTGCTGTAATCAGTACTTGTTGCTGGATTATCATGACAGGTTACGTGATCTTCATTAATGTTAAATGTTTCTGTCTGTTGATGTATTTGATCAGCAACCTGTTGTTTGATAAGTTCAAGTGTTGTTTGTGGGATAAGGTTGTGTATAATTGTTCTTTTTTTGATTAACAACCCCTTTGTTCAGTAACAGTGAGGTGAAAATTGTTGTGTGAATCTGAGATGTAGTTGTTGTCTGTATGCTGTCATGTTTGTTTCAAGTCTTGTGATAGTGTAGTAAGTACGGATGATAAACACATTCATTTCCATTGTCCATTTCATCCATTGGCGTAATTTTCCAGTCTTTATGGTCTGTGGAAGCATTGCCACAGAAACACCAAGGCTAGGTTGGTTCCTCACATCGGTCAAGGGCATTGCAGTAGCCATGCTTGGACCAGCGCTGCTTTCACCACCAGTAACCAAGGGAGTCTGTAGCCTATTTTTCAAATGTGAGCCTCTTCCTAACCCATGAATGTGGACCTTGTTAACTCATCCAAGCCAGTATCACACTTAGACCTGGTTACTACCATGGTAAACATCTCCACAGAATGTGGGTGTGGTCACTCTTAGCTTCATTTCTCCCCATAGACCTTACTGGCAGGGTGTCCCTATCAGAAGCTTGTGCTCCAGCCTCCATTGCTCTATGGATCAGTAAAATTACAGGGCTCTCCCACCACAACCAGGTGGTGATCATGGAAGGGATTACTATTGTATAAAGAAATCAGAAATGAAGTAATATGATACAAATGGTTGTCAAATAACAAACTTTTTATTTTTGACACTTATGAAATTTAGAAGTTTCTGTTTCACTTATTTTATAATTACATTATAAAACAGACAAAAAAATAACATTTTCATGTTTGAAATTGTGCCTTCTAAACTGCATACTGGTAAAATGGCATTCTGTCATGCTTTCAATAGTCATTTCAGTTATGGAATATACAATGCTGTTAGATATGCTAGGTTTTTTATTCTGTCCTTCCAATTTTCTGCAGGAATTTATGCCATCACCACAGTTATCTGCACAAAATTACAGTATAATATACACATTAAAATAATGGCGGTCAGTGGTATATTTAAGATTTTGAGAATATGTATGCTGCTCAAGGCAGATTTAGAGGAGATTAAGGTTTGTGCTCACTGTCATTTTTCAGAAAATGTTACTCAATAATCTTAGAATTACTTTAGTTACTTAATCTTACCCAATTGAAGTCATGCAATATGCATTGTTACATTTATTTTTATTTTAAAGTAAGAAAACTGATTACTTTGGTATCAACAGGATGCTGCAGCACTACAAGCACCCCTGATGGCAGCATATCAAACAGATGTTTAAATGCACATAATTACTAGTATTTTGAAAACATTCAATATTTAAAATAATTTTGAAAACACAAATACTTCAAACCTTACAGCAAAAATATTTTAAATAAAATACCAAATACTCCAAAAGTGAGTACAGGTAACCCCCGTATAACATGGGAGTTACATTCCAAAAAATTGCCGTGTTATACGAAACAAAGAACTAGTGAGAAAAGGGAGGTTAGGTTCCAAAAATTAAAAAACACGCTGTTAATCCTTATTTAAATTGGATTTACTATTCATTTTTTTCATAGGTAAGATACTTATTTATTATTCAAGTAAATATTTTACCAGAGGATTATTCATTTTATATGACAATCTCAGCATGAGCATCATCAACTGGTAACAGTTTTTGGGTGCGTTCGTTAATAGCGCAATCGCTCTGCAATGGGAGTGCACTGTTGTTTGTAGGCATTTAGGAACAACGGTGAAAGAAAGATGGCGGCACCCGCACTATCAATAGTATTGTGATGGAGGAATCTATAATTCTAAAATGAGCTTTTAGAGGCAAAAGACGGGACCCAATTGTAAAATTTAACTATTAAATGGATTATTGTTGAAGGATCATTCAAAGTAGCCACGAAAACAAGTAGAATGCTCGTGCGAAGTTATGCAGAAGTATAAAAGAATGCACCCTTTATTACATTTCATGTTGTATGAGGGTTTCATCCAATTCCCGAACTGTGTTAGAGTGAACCCATGCTATAGAAGTGCCGTGTTATACGGGGTTACCTGTATTTGGTAATGGTATATATGGAGAAATAAGAATTGAAATACTACAAGCTCTAATATTAAATAATAAAAGTCAGGGTTTGTAAATTTTCTGGGACTAAATTTTTATGTAATATTGAATTTGGAAAGTTAATCAGATATGTAATCTAACAGACAGACATTCGTTAACAACCATCTAAAATTAGAAAAGAAATTTTATTTATCTCAAAAAGATGGTCTAACTTGATAAGCTAATAATATAACTTATAACAACAAATTTTAATTAATTTCTTGTTATATCAATTCTAATTTCTTAAAAAAATTTCTATAATTTATATTAATTAAATTTAGATCATTAATTAAAGATCAAATCCACTAATAGTTTTTGTTTTTAATTTTAGTTCATGAAAAGGAGTAAAGAGAAAATAGAACAAAAGCAAGAAGAATTAGAAAAAAAAGCATTATTTGAAACAGAATTAATAGATTTATTAAAAAAAGAAGGGTACAAATATTTACAGTTTTTTTTCTGTTTGGAAACATTATAAATTTTTTTTTTCTTAATGCAGGAAAAGATTTCTAATAGAACCCAGTTATGCTCCTTGTGAACAGTTGGTTTTTGGAAGAATGTCATTTAAAGGAATGAATCCTGAAATTGAAGTAAGACTATAATTTATTTATATTGAAATACAGACAATGCCTTCAGAATAATATTTGTCATCCACAATGCAAACAATTAATAAAACCAATTAAAATACAGAATTATTGAAACAGAATTTTTTACTCAATAATATATATATATATATATCAAGCAAAATCTGTTTAACGATATAATTTGTCTTAATGAGAATAAAAAAATAATAAATTATGGAATGTTCGGAATTCTCAAAAATCATCTTGTTTTTACCTTATATTCTGAAATAGCAAATAAATATTTTAATAAAATTAATAGCTAATATCACATAGTTAAGTATTATTATATGTGTAATTACTAGGAGTGAAATTTGGAATGAATTTACAACAGATTTCATGATTTTATTCCTAAATTTTAATATAAAATTATGAGATTTTCAATTTTTTTTCCTTCAATTATTTTATTAAAATTGTTTAAAAATATAAAAAATAATAATAAATATACAACTTTTATCTAAAACCTAATGAAATTAGTAGAAAAATTAAATTCTTCAAAATAATTTAAAAAGAAAATGAAAAAATAACATTAATTCTATTCTCAATAACTGACAACAATAAGTTTAGAATGTTTTTATACTCAGGTTAAGCATACTGTTTAAATATTCAGTATCTGTAATATTCTCTAGAATATAAACTTTTCGAAAATGGAAGAATTACATTTATTAAAAATTATAGTGTTTTAAAAACTTGTTGAAAATTAAATGAACTGCATTGGTCACATCCATTTTTCCACTAAATTATGCTTATTTGATATTGTGAGATATATAATTTTCCAGCATTACATAATTTCTTTTTCCATATCAGCAACAAAATTACTCAAAATTAATAATAAAAGTTTTATTATTTTACAAAATGGAGTAACAAGATATGAATTTATAACATTAATATATTTAAATTTTTAAGTTTTTTGCATAAGCAAACACAATATAAAATTTTATCACATACTTGGAATAAAATGCTAAAAAATCTCTATCATATTTTTGTGCATATAACTTCCAGAAAATTTCTATAACAAAACTTTCAGATAACCTATCCCATCTTATATTCCACATTTATGGGACCAGCCATTGATCTATGGGCACAAGTTCATAATTGTGATTTAAAATTGGCATATTACCTGCTCTGTCATGTAACCACACTCCTTTCAACTTGTCTTTTAAACACATATCTTGTTGGCTATACATACAAAAAATACTTAAATGATATGCAATGATTTTTCAAATTTATTTAAACTTTTATATTCAACTTTTACATAACAATTATTTTGCATTAATATATAAAGGTATGTATTGGCATTACTTTAAGTTACTGTTATGCTAAAAATTATTTTATAACAAATAAAAAATTGAACTAAATTTCCTTGCTATATTTGACCCACAACATATGTAATTTACAGTAAATTATTTATAATTTCTGAGATCTTATTTAAAAGTTATCATTGAAAAAGAATAGATTAAACACAGGTTGAAATCTCTGTAGGTTTCAGAAATTATGAAATTTAGTATTTCTTAATCACAGAATTTATTAGTATGAATTTTGTAAAGTTGACTATTAATGTATACATTTAATCAATTTTACTGAACATTTGGTCATCATAACAGTAAGTTAATTTATAAATAATTTTTTAGTATGTTTATGTATTACATAAATCAAATATAAGTTATATCTAAAAATAATTTTTTAGAAACTAATGTTAGAAAAGCAAGAAGTACCATTATCACAAAAAAGAAAAATGGGTGGCATTTCAGATAAAGAATTTGCTGAAAGGTAATACAAAAGATTTAATAATTTTAGAATATATTAACACTCTTTTGATATCATACTGTTTTTTCAATTTGTTGTAATTTTACACAATTTATAACTTTCATATTCAAACATTATTTTTAAAATTATAAATTTTATTAAATATTAATTTCTTTATTAAATTGTCTTGTTATTTCAGTAAAATATATTAATGTGCAATGTCTTATTCATGCATTCTTTTATGTCATTAAATGTTTAAAAGTTATTAGCTACACTTTGAAATAGAAAGATATGATACTTATTCTGAATGTTTATGAAATGGAGTGTGTTTTATTATAGTTTAAAGTTAGTTTATAACCCACCTCATTGCATAATCTGCACCCTTTAAATTGTCTTTTAAACACATAACATATGCATAATATTTACAAAAATACATCGTTATTTCTTAATTTTTTATATTTTTATTTCAAATAATGCAAGAAATGATTTGGTAATTGCAGTATTTTTCTGAACATATTTTTGTGCATTCATCAGCAGTAGAATAAAAAATATGTTTCTATAGTCAACATTTTTTAAATGTTTTCACTAAACATTTGTGGCCGCCAGCGCCAGAGATCCTGAACACTGTCTTGGCAACACTTGCCAGGATCACGAACTCTGTCTGGCAACACTTGCCAACAAGAGTGGCTGGCAACGTCAAAAAAAAGAAAAGGCGCGAAAGTTCGTTGGATTTTGTCCGGGTGTTGCCCGAGGATCTAACCTTTTCTAATAAAGTTCTTTTTTGTTACTGTTCGTGTTTGCCTGCTTAATGTTAGATCTAAACATCAGTAGGATTGAATGACAAACATTCAAAAACTCATTGTCAACAATATGAGGTGTAACTATTAAATAACAAGACTGACACTGCTACAGAAGAAGTATGCATGTGCCAAATGCAGCAACCGACAGCTGTTTAGCATGAAGCCGCCTTTTGAATGCAGTATCTCTTGCTTCTGTAAACAAATCCATATATCCGTAGCCTTAATTCACATTAGAATTGTTTTTTTTTTTTTTTGTTGTTGTTTTGCCAGAAAAATGTTAAGTGTAACAATAGAGCAATGAATTGTTGTGAAATTTCACATGAAACCTAGAAAAACTGCTACTGAAACTTTTAATTTATTGAAAGAAGTGTATGGCAATGATGTTTATCGCACGCACATGTTTTTAAGTGGTTTAAGCATTTTCAAGATGGCCAAGAAGACATTGAAGATGATTCACGCCTGGGTTGCCCCTCCATATCAAAAACAAATGACAATATCGAAAAAATTGTAATTTGGTTCAATCTGACCATCAGTTAAGTATTCGTGCAATTGCTGAACTCTGTGAAAGAATAAGGAAAAAATGACCCAAATTGTGGAAGGACAAGTCATGGGTTCTCCACCAAGACAATGTGCCAGCTCACTCTGCATTATCTGTCAAGAGGTTTCTAGCTAAGTGCAGCATCCCAGTGTTAGACCATCTGCCTTATTCGCTGGATCTTGCACTGTGCGACTTCTATTTCCTAAGGTGAAATCTGCATTAAAAGGAACAAGATTTGAGTCTGTTGAAGCTGTGAAAGAGAAAGCGGCACACGTTCTGAAGGAGCTGGCAGAAGACAACTTCCAGCACAGTTTCGAACAATGGAAGATTTGCATGGAGCGTTGTAGGGATAGAGGAGGGGTGTATATTGAAGGTGATAATAAATATGTATGAAATCAAAATAAAATGTTTTATAGCATCAGTCTCATTATTTAATAGCCACACCTCGTAAATTTTAAACCAGTCTTTATACCAAGATTAGCAATATTTTATTTTGTCATATGTTGTTGAGTACTATATCAGTGACTTGGAAATATTTTATTGTGAATGAAATTACTGTGTTGTCTAGCTATACTCTTTGTTAATTAAGAATTTCAAGTATAGTGGTGTCTCGTATAACGTACTTAATCCGTTCCAGGTGCACGTCCATTAAGTGAAAAGTCCATTATACGAAACGCATTTTCCCATAGAAATACATGTTAAAACATATAATTTGTTCTGTAGCATAAAATAACCGTACTGTACCATTAAAAAAAGTGAAAATGGAGCAGTCACCAATTATGCTGGGTAGTCAGATGTTGTGAGGAGGAGGTGGAAGAATACTTTATTCACACATTCATACAGATACAGACTTTTTACATATTGCAGCAGGTCTCTTTTTATTGTTTTTTAATTGGAGTCAGATTCAGGAGAGGCTACTGGGGCTTGCAGGATCAACTCCTCTTGTTCCATACTTTGTCTTTTGGTAGCTGGCTTCTTGAAAAACATGTCCAAGGTGGTCTGTTTCTCTCTTTTCTTCAACACTTGTCAGAAATGACGGGCAATGGTGTCATTGTAGAGGTTATTGATCCTGTTGGCCTCAACTGTGTTTGGATAATGAGTGTTGATAAACTCCTGAACCTTTCTCCATTTGATAAGGAAGTTTTTGTCAACTTTCACTCCTTCTGATGGTTTCTTGCTTTGTTTCAATTGAAATCAGCTTTGATTTTTTTTAGAAGCCATGATTTGCACAACACTTGAATAAATGTAAATACTCTGCACTGTGTTGATCTACCAAATAAACAAGCCTAATCCCAACGCTCTGTACTTCAGATATACTTCTGAATTATCAAATATACAAATATACTACAAATATTCAGATATACTTCTGTACTGATAATATATTCTAATAATACTAATATATTATAAAAATAGCAGATTGTCATTGGCAACGGCAAAAGAGTGGAAACATCATTCGCACTTGTTCGTAGAAAGTCCATTGGTCGCCTCACGTAACTACCGAACGGAAAATCCATTGCTTGAATCACGTAACGGCCAAACAGAAAATCCATTATTCGAGACACCACTGTATCTTATTTTCACTTGTAAAAAATTACTTTTCTGAACCATAACAAACTCAAAAGTACAGTTAGGGCACCAAACTAACACCAATACCACCCTGATAATTCTATGGTACGCACACATGCATATCTTTACAAATACTCTGTAACTATGAAACACTGATTTTAAATTTTATTATTGTAATTATAAATGATTGGACTGCATTCCACAATAAAATATATCACGGGAAAGAAAAAATGAGTTTTTTCCCGCCATTTTCATTCTAAACCGTATTATCATTATATATTTTGATAGCTAGCATTTTAAGGCTTATTTGTAAAAAATTTTGTTTGATTCTGTGCAATTGTTTATTTTTTGTGTCCCATCAAATATGGAAGATCGAAAGCATCATTTTTGGCATATTTTGCTTTTTTATTACCAAAAAAATCAAAATGCTGTTCAAGCAAGAAAAAAATTGTGGTACATGTATGCAGATGATGTGTTGAGAGAAAGATAGTGCCAAAACTGGTTTACAAAATTTCGTTCTGGCAATTTCAATATTGAAGATGAACCACGTTCTGGATGGCCAGTTGAAGCCAATAAAAACAAAATAAAGGTACTGATTGAAGCAAACTGCCGAATAACAACACGTGAAATCACTAAGAGATTAAATTTGTCAAATTGAACTGTTTATGATTACTTGAAACAAATTGGTTTCGTTTCAAAGCT